CGAAATCAGTGGACTCTTTTCCATATTGGGAAATTTATATTTCAGAAAGTTGAAATCTGTGATTTATCCACGCCTAATAAATGAATTCAGCCATTCGTTAATGAACGATTCTGAAATAAATATGATAGAGAAAATTTGTAGCTCAGGTGGATGATTTTGATGTGGTTGTGTTCTCTGACCTGGATAGTGAATTTGCACACATCAAGATTCTGAAATACATTTCTCACAGTTTTGATGCAATATCGTGAATGAATGCGCTAATCACGTCGGGTATGAGGACATATACTTAGTGGTAATATCACACGGTAGAGATGAGATATTTTGAATAGAAATTGCATATTTAGCATAAGCCATTGATTCGTACCTACTGACTGGATTGCAATATGCTTTTCATATCGTCTTACTGTCTTAGCCCCAGTCCTTCATTGGTTCTTGCATAAGCATTAGTAAACAGCCGCAATTAGCTAGTACTTCAAAGTAATTCTATATGACGCTGTTTGGTAAAAAAATCAAGCATAAAATCCTTATGAGTAGTTAGAGATGCATATACACTTAAATAGATAACTGCTGCAAAACAAACTCAACCAACAGAAGTGATGACTCTTTTATACCATATATTCTTAAACTCAGTTGAATCTGGTAAGTTTATATCTATCACTCTAAGCTATTCCTTAAAACCACTAAACAAATGAAGATATTTAGAAAAAGCACTTGCTTAAGATGCAAGATCTCTTACATATTCTCATAAACATATTTGCATATGAATATTATGAGACGGTTGATTCTTCTAAATGTAAAGATGTTTTAGTCAAACCGTGTTTTTCAAATAAAAACGTACCACACAGGTATATAACGAGGCAATGGACCAAGTACTTCATATAAATATGGCTAACCCTAACTGAATCAACATCTCACTAATCTTTTGAAAAACAGGTAACACCACCTTCTGCAAACTTTATTTCAATCTTTAGCCATGACTTAGTAGATGTTTAACTAAATCATCTGTGACATATGGAATATGAGAAATTTTCGTGTGGATTAACCAACAGCGATGAATGCCTGGACAAATTTGCAAAGTAAAAGATAATATCAATGTGTTATTAATAGTGAAAAAGGGTTCTATATTTACATACACACATACATTCAATTCCCTTGAGAAGATAATGAGAATAAAATATAACTTAAATAAACCAAACATAACTACGTTTTTCACATTTACTTATGAAATATGAAATGTTTCTCAGCCATAATACAACTAAGTGAGTTAATAAGCGATTCATATTGTGATGTTAGAATGAAATTTTAGTAATCTCGAGAAATCAGTGAATCAATTTTATACATTGAATAAATTAATATACCGAAATTCTCTACCTGATGATATACTTGCAAATCAGGTCTCATTTAAGGCTAAATAATATACCAAATTAGTGGATAAATTAGAAGTGAAATGCTTTTCACAATCAAATTAATCTTAGAAACAAGTACGCAGTCTTATTTTACGTGTATGATATTTATAATTCTTCTTCAAAGAGGTGTCAGTTCTGAATGACAGCCTTTTAAGTGAAAATTAAGTCTGACTCTAAGATATGATCTCTTTCCCTTGCTAAATGTATTCATCAGATTCATAATTTTAGTTCTTTAACCTTTAATGTATTATTCTCTACGACAAACAGATGGATTCGATTGTAAGCTTATTTTGCTAGAGTTCAACAACATAAAATACTTTGTATATGTTGAATTTTTGTCACCAGGAAAAATCACTCCTGCTGATGAAAACTAAAAACATTTTTTGAATACTTTGAGGGGTTTTTACAGTTCTCAAATTTACTTGAGAGGTGAAGAAGTAGAAGAGATATCGACTTTCATAATACTTTGTGTTCAGTACATACATTGAGCACTCATATTAATCATTCGAAGACTAATATATACACATTCAATTTACAGCTGCGCAAAGTAAGTCATAATTTACCTTATAAAATATTCCTCAACAAAAAAGGCGCCTTTCTTACAGGGAATATTAATCTTGTGATAATTTAAAGAACAATTATCAAGAGTAGTACTGCCTAATGTACGTCTTCAAACTCATATTTTATGTAACGTAATGCGAAACAGTCAACGGTATATGAGAATATAGTAAATACAGAGGCCACAGGATAAAGTTTCCGAAATTTTTGCAGTTATCAAAGCTAAAGCACCTCAAGAAATGAGAACATATGTGTGAAACATAGCTGAGTAGAGAAAAATGGCAATCAGATCCCATCTAAGTTGCTTCCTCACTGTGTGTTTACAAACAAAAGTTGTAAATATTGAGTAGAAATTATTGAATTCAATTTGAGATTTTTCCGTCGATTGACTGGATAACGCTTTGGCGTTTGAAACCAAGGACACTTGGTTCAAGCCTTGTTGCTAAAATCATCACCCACTGCGGATACAGGTACATTCACCTGGTGACGACTCCTAAATAGGTTAGCAAAATATGCATCCTGGATTCCACTGCTAGTCGCCATCTAACAATTAACTTCTATTGTGTAAATGTTTCACTTATTTCTCGTTACAGAACTCTTGGAAGTACGTTCATTCTCCTACTGCAATTCACTATTACTTTTCATTAACATTTGTCAAAGTTAACATCTGTCATTTAGGCGAATAAGATCAAATTTAGTAGATCTCATGTTGTTGTTAGTGCCATTTGTGCACATTGAGGAAGATATGATTCATCAGCCTGCATGGAATCGGTTTTCTTCTGCAAATTTCCTTCAACACAAGGGAGTATGACCCAAACGATGAAAGCACAGAGGACGCTAAAAAACTTGAATGTCCAGAAGATATTTGTGAAATATACAATTACAAATTTCATACCGAATTATCAATAATAAGAGAGAGTATAAAAATATTTAGATAAACAACTGAAGCAGCAGTTATGTGATACTTTAAAGATAAGAATGAGCACTTCATGGCACCTGACTGAATGAAAAGGCAGACAGTGAGTTGAAGAATGATGAAAATTATTAGGGAACGTTGGTTCTGTAAAAAGCATAGTTCAGTGATGTGAATCTTATTTTGATAACGGATAAAACAGCAATAGTTGTTGACGAGAAGGAAATCTGCTTAAACGTGTATCAGACTTCTTTCCAACTACTGTGTTCGCACTGAGCACTGAAGAAGCTGACAGTCTGGATTCCAGACTCTCCTCAAAGATTAAATCTTTAACAACTGAAGTTTAATAGCTAATCCATCGATATACACTGCTAAGTAAAATCATTTATCCCTCCCCCATAATAATTTTATGACAGAGAATCAAGTAAGTTCTTTTTTCATGAAATAATGGGGAAAAAATAAATATTCAAAATATTTTAAAAAACAAACCTTTCAGACAAGCCAGTACAAAATATACTTAATAGGCACTGCTACATATTCTAAAGTAGAAAATTACCATAATTACTGTGAACAGTAGAAATAGTCTTTCTGAAGGTAGATCGATTCGCAAAAAGATACGTATTCCATCCTACTGGCAATTACGTCTGTTCAAACTGTATACATACGGTGATATAGTTAGTCATGACTCAGTTACGCTGATCGGATATCTCAGTTAACAGTCCATAAGCCCTGATGATTGTGTGTAGGCTGGTGATATCCCTCAGTAGCTTTAATTAAAATAATTCTGGCTGTATTCAATACCTGGACTAACCAATCAGCGGTCAAGGACTACCGCTAATAACCAACGCCTCCACACGAACGTAGCGACATTTTATTGTTCAAGAGTTATTATAAGAATAATAATAATAGTAGAATCATAATTCCAATTGATGTTAAGAGTCTGTGCTGTATATGGAAGATTTCTACATGTTAAATATTGACCTTCATTTTTGATTTGTATAGCCCATTCAAGAACTGAATGAGTAAGTATTTTATCGCAGGAAGTCTAGATTTTGTGATAAATATTAATTCTTCTGTAATGAAGGACAGTGAGACATCTCTCAAGCTATTATCTAAAATGATACATTAAAAATACAGTCATGAATAAAAGAATTTGTAACACAAGCAACATTTTCTATTCATAAATCAGACCTCTTCCCCACTGGCAGGTATTGCTACTGTTTCCTTAACCAAAGAAATAAAGGTGAGATAAGGCTTATCCACTGAGATGCCAACACCGAATGGTTGGAGAAACGATAATCCAGGATTTTCACGTGCTCAGTGTATAGATACCATTCTAGCTGCCATTTTCTGCATATTATTATGTGGTAAAATGATTGGGAAGTGATAAATGATAGGAAAGTTCCGGAATGTTTGTCACAGGAGATTCATGACGGATCCTAATAAAAACCAATAAATCAACTCTACTGTTGAACTACACAAGAGCTGTAACTTCCTTAATTCCACAGTGTATATTCACTATGTAATGAAAACTACTCAGCCACTAGTGCTGATATTTTTACTATGCGAACTCTTACATGAATTCGCATAACAGATCAGAGTTTACTCCGACAGTTTTAAATGTAATCAATTATTTACTGTACAGTAGATGCCTTTCTCAATAAATTTATTTCTGTTTCTTCCCCCTCTTTTTAGGTGGATATATACATACAACCAAACAACACACTGAGTGATAACATGTTAACTTTTAAAATAATAATAAATTCATAATATATCAATTCTCAAAAAAATGGATACTGAACAAAGTGTATTCTTTTCGATAACTTCATCATCAGGCTCTACAGTTATATATACATTACAGTGAATCAATGAGTTGGCGTTATAAACAACATTTATGTTTAAATAACATGGAATCAGTAGTATTGATAGATTGCAGCTAAATAGCATCAACATAAAATAAGCTGAATGTCAGAAGAATTAGGAAAGATAATGTTACAGATTCATGAGTCTATTGTCTCTACTGAAGGCTAGGACGATATTAGGAGCTGGACTTACTTCTTTTCAACATAGAGCAGTGGTTGTTTGAGGTGAATTGCAATAGCCTCTGCTGTTTGCAGCATGTGGTGCTTCGATGATTTTGGCAATTTATTAGGAACCCGGTAGATGATAGAGAAGGATTCTCCAATGCTGGCTGGCTTTGTGGCCGGCCGGTCTGAACCGTATGGTCCAATATCGAACTGTTGATGGTAGCTTTCACTACATTTTTACTAAGCCATAGTGTAAGATGTTCTCGGGCACGAAAAATCAAGTTTGTAGAGCAACGGCCAATATAACTGGCTCCACAAGCGCAATTGAATTGGTAGATACAATTTGAAGTGGCTAGTCTAGGTACTTTATCTTTCAGTCAAGATATCTCCATCGGTCGTACAGAGAATAATACGTGTAGTTTGCAGCATTTAAGGTTCTTTGAACTGAATTTCTCAATTTCTTCGAAATTATCTCGTTTGGTATATCGCCCATGAATTTTAGTCGTATATAAAGAGGCTTTTTTTACAGGTAGTGAGTAGTCCTTTTCCGTTTTCTTTGTCATGTGTTTCTTCATAAGTTTTTCGGGATAGCCATTTTCTATCGAAGTATCATATACAATGCTTAATTCATCTTCAATCACTTCTTTTGAGCATATAGCTCTAACTCTGTGGCTGAGGGTCTTCACTAAATTTCTTTTGTACTTGATAGGAACGAAGCTGTGAAAATGTGTATATTTTCCTGTCCAAGTGCTTTGGCTATGCAAATTTCTTTTTATGCTACCATCTGGTTTTCTTGTAAGTAGGACATCCAGGAAGGCAATTCTGTCTTGAGATTCCTCTTCGCATGTGAATTTCATAGCCGAATGTACTTCATTGAATTCAGTAATTATTGTACTCCTATCAGAACCATTATCACAAAGAATAAAGGTATCATCCATATATCGGCAATAAAATGAGTGCTTACTGATAAGTTTGTTCAGAGGTCCATTTTCTAGCTTACTTAGAAAGAAATCAGCCAGGTTGGGACCCTATGGGGAGCCCACTGCCACCCCGTCCACTTGTCTGTAAAGCATGCCGTTAAATTTGAAATTTAAATTCATGCTACATCTTAATATCAATTCTTTTTAGGATCTCACTATGTATGCCAATGTTTATCGACAGCTTGTCCACTTGTTCACCTATGTAATTAACTCTTTCTGTTAGAGGTACATTTGTGAATAACGATGTTATGTCCAGAAATATCATGGTTTTGTCCTTGATACTAATATCTTTTATTTTGTCTACGAATTCAAATACATCTTTGACGCTATATTTCACTATCTTTTTATGCATAGGTTTGAGAATATTTACTAACCATCTAGCTAGAGTATGGTAGAACGAATTTTGCATATCAAGTATTGGTCTTAACGGTACCCCTGGTTTATGCACTTTAGGTAGGCCATACACTCTTGGCGTAGACGTGCCCATTAGTATGATTTCTTAATATAAACTTTCGGAAAATATCTGCTCCTCCCTTAGTTTCTTCAAACGTTTGGTTAATTCTTTCCTTATTTTGTTATTGAACTCTTTCTTCTCCTCAAGTTTTTGAAACTTCTATGTGTCCTTCAATATATCATTCACCTTTTCATATGGTCACTTTTATCAAGGAGGACTACTCCTGATCCTTTATCCTGCTTTGTGATTATCGGTCTCTCATCATTTATCAGTTATTTTAGTTCTTCTTTGTCAAGAAAAAAATACTGTCGCATTTGAGGTTTTTGTACTGATAACAACAATCCACTAGACTGGATTTGAAGCTTTCTAGTTCCAAGGTGGATGATGGAACTGGATCCTTCTTCAACTATATAAGCTTTCAAATTCAATATCAGTATCTAAGTGATTAACTCGTTTGGGTATATCACAAAATCGAAGGCCAAGGGAAAGTACTTTAAGTTGCACCTTTTTTAATTCGACACTACTATAATTGTAGACGTACTTTTTAGGATCTGCTGGAAATTTAACAGCTTCTAGATTCCTTTCAAGTCCTCTTGTAAGCTCTATCTGCCTCTTCTGTGCCCTGCGTTCACTAACTTGTGTAACGTATTCCATAAAAGACGTACTAAGATCATTCATTAAAACAAAATCGACTTCTAATATATGTGTAGTAGTGAAGCAAATGAGATTTCACAGAAAGCTGTTATTACAAGAGCAGGTTAGAAAGCCAGTAATAATTACAATGATAGCTTTACTCTAGACAATATTTGTATAAGGCACAGAATTTTCAGTGAAATTTATTACATAATATTTCCCTCTTCGTCCAGGATCTCGAAGTAACATAGTAATTAAAAGTAGACTGCTTGACACAGTGATATCTGACCTAAAGCGCAAACTAATATCTTGAGATATTTCTTCTTCTTTGTCTCATTCGACAGACGCAAGACATTTCGTTGAAAACCTTTTAAAAAAGTACAAGGGTAAATTTGGAATCCCAAGGACGTAACTGAATGATTAATATTGTAGATAGTTAGTCTTATTTTTCTGTCAGTGAGTGGCGGGTTGTACTGAAAATATCTCGAATGGTTATCTTGTGTTGAGGGACAGGTTGCTATCCACAATTGTGTTTTTTCTTAAATTTCGCAGAAACATACAAATCAGTAGTTCGGAAGCACGTTAAATACTCGAGAGAGTAAATATTACCATTTGAGGTTGGTTTCTAACAGAGTTAAACAAGGTGAACAAGCGAAGTTATATGCAATTAGAGATGAAGATTTCTGGCAGCTATCACAGTACTTCTGTGCTGAAGGTTTACAATGTATTAAGTTTCTTTGCTTTTCTTTCTGATACATTTACCGCATTATAAATAAACAAGCGATTCAAAAATAAATCTCCTCCTACAGTGATAAGATGTCATTATGGGAAGGTAGTGACAATAGGAACACTGCATTCTGCGTGTATATCTCAGGTCACGACTTCAGCTAACACATCCTTAAAGTACAAAAGCAGCGTTAACTTTTTTCCCGAACGATATTTTCATTTACATAATTGAGGTGACAGTTATTTTTTGTGCATAAACGGTAAATAAGACGAGGTTTGGTGAGCATAAGGCAAGAACACATCGTCCAACAAATGTCTAAAATGAAATAAAGGCAGAATAAAGAGACCCTTGAGTAATGTCAAGGGCTAAGGAGGCTCTAGAGTGGAATGTGAATGGATAACGACGATTTGGACGTTCGACAATGAAATACAGAATAGTGGGAAATGAAAACTTATCTAAAATAGATTGAAAAGATCACAGTGGAATGAAAGATTGCTGCTGAAGCCTAATGCTTGACCTAGAACCCAAAGAAATTATAGTAATATCCAAGAACAAACCGAAACAGTAGTGTTAGGAATATAACGAATACTTGAATATACAGTACAATCTATCGAGTAACTATGTTGTCTATCACAGACTCATATGTGTAAAATAAATTCTCGATTGCTAAAGTGTGATGTTAACTGCCTTATTAGTTGTGACTTAAGAAGCACACTTATATTTCTCCTCTTATCAGTTGGTGTAGAGGACTGTATTAGAACAATCTTACATCGGGCAAATCAACTGTGTTAATACTTTATTCAAGACGATTCCTTTTTATAATGCATTAACTGACAAGAAAAAAGATACAATAGTCTTAAAAGTAAGAAATCACACTCAAAATTACTAGGCCAAAATAGAGGTTTCTTCTTTCGGATATTTCGCTACACATGATCTTCAAAGCATCCTAAATAGATGTATAACCCAAATAATATCTTGCTACACAAAAAATGCCCTGTGTTATTTTATCCTCATTCAGCAGATTAAAAAAGAAAACGGGGTCAGAAGTTGTGATAAACTATTAAAATTAATTGTTACATTTTCAATTTCACAGTAAACAAATCTACATTCAGTGTATTTTATTCTGGATCGTGTGTGTTTAGTTAGATGAAAAAGCATTGATAAGGCAAATAGTGATTATTTTAGTGCACTATTTGATTAAGGATATCTGACGCCATAGACAGACGTAGTGGAGAAAGATGTTGAGGCATTCTATTAACAACTGAAGTTTTAAGAAATATTACTGGTAACTGTTATAACTGTAGGGAATTGAATGAAGACGTTTTCACCTTGCTCTGTCTGCGCCTGAACTAATCTGCCTATCTGCTTGTCGTACCTTCCGATTTAGTAAAGCACGCAAATATCAAAAGACAAAGGCTGGACTGTGACTGTGTATTGAAGTGCAACAACGACAAAGAAAGCCATGGTATTTATACATTTTTCAAATATATGGACAGCTAACAGCATTTGAAATAATTTATCTTAATAGCCAATAACAAAGTGCGTGAGAGATGATAATATACCATATGTGCGAGATTGACAGTCAATAACAAAATGTGTGAGAATGATAATATACCATATATACAAGATTAGCAGTCAATACCAAAATGTGTGAGAATGATAATATACCATATATACAAGATTAACAGTAAATACCAAAATGTGTGAGAATGATAACATACCATATATGCAAGATTAAACAGTCAATACCAAAATATGTGGGATCCTATCAGTAACAGTATGTCAGACAGCAAAATGTTTTAAGAGATTGAAATCCCCTATATTCTATTTCACTGTTTCAAAGATTCTACATAAAAGCTGTCTGGTATATGACGCAGCTTAAAGCATCTATCGTTTTAAAAAGCTTAACAACTGTTTAATTAAAATATTGTGGACAAAGTAAAATCTCACTCGTTAGGTCAAACTGAGCATTCGAAGAATGTTTGGTAGGTACCTCCCTTTATTCACTTTTCTCAGAAAAAAGTTGCACGATCAACTATTTGTTAATTTCTTTTTGAAGTAAATGAGCTATCTCATGACAGTGTAGGTAGATTTTACATGCATAATCTTCGAAACCACTAAATTATCAGCAAAAAACTTTCGATTGTTAACAATTCCATTGATTTTTAAGTACTACTACCATTACATTTTGTAAAATAGAGGAAATTATCTGACATTTTTTCAACAAAGTCACTACTCATATTTATGTGCAAACGATTCCTTCAAAGTCTAGCTTATTGATTATGAGAATGAAACCCAAAATGACCACTAGCAAAATTATACTAATGCATATCAGATGTCCACGTACTAATAAATGTTAGCAAGATAAATCAGTAGTGGTTAATTTCAGCTCTCCTACTAATACGGATTGTATCCTTTCTGTCATTTAAATTTACTGTTGTGGCCATTCTTTCCCTCAAATTAGATAACAGGCCTCGTTATAAATCTGTAGGTGCTACTTCATGTAATGGTTAGAATAAATGAGTGGACTCAATATCAGGACACTGTCTCTAAATTAACTGTATTTCAAATAAAATAAAGTCATCTTTCAGGAAATCATTCAGTTACGTTAAGCGCCTTATCAAAAATTCAATGACTTTTTTCTCAAATCGTATTCGAATATATATATTCAAAGACTGATCAGGGTATAGCAGTTAGACGAAAGTCTCTGCAAACCCGTTTTGTCCTAGTCTGTGACTCTTGAGCAGTAAAACCTGACTGATATTCGGACCAACAGCATCCGGCCACAAGGTGAGCTTGTAGACTATTCAGCTCCCAGGACTCCATTCTATTGCCCATAAATCCAAACTTACGCCAGTTGAACATATATGAAGCCCATCCACCAGCCATTTTAATCAGCGAGTAACAGTCCACTTACCTGACTTGGAGGACTTCGCTGGTAACAGTCCACTAGATCTTCAAGTAACTTTGTGAATAGAGGTGGTCGCTAATTAGCATTATATTCATTTTCAAGTGTACATTTTCAGGAATCTGAATAGTTATAGGTTTGATCACGAGCTGGCAACAGATGAAGAACTACTGACAAACAAGTACGAAACAGCTTTGCGTTACTCCCCTGTTTTCCAATGGTTCCTCAACTGATGTCAGCCCGTGATAAAACCTGTGGCCAATCAAATCCATGTGTCCTACTCCAACACTGTTCTTGACATCACTTACCCAATATTGAAAATCGTAATTAGTAGAGCTAGTCAGTTAAAACCTTGAAATTATGACCGATGCAATGAGACCATGAGGAATAAAGGGTTTTCAAAAAGATATTAGTTAAAAGAATAAATTATCTCCTATGATATCTTGTATATGGTCTTTAAATAAGGCAACATGACAAAATAATCGGAAGAAGTAGCTCAGCAATGAACTCACTTTTATGCGATCTGCACAGAAAAGTACGCCGATGAAACTTTTATCATCCGTGACAACAAATGTAACCTGAATAATGTCCTTCAAGGTTTTAATAGCT